TTGGAGGAGGAGGAGGAGGAGGAGGAGGAGGAGGAGGAGGAGAGAGGAGGAGGAGGAGGAGGAGGAGGAGGAGGAGGGAGGAGGAGAGAGAGGAGGAGGGAGGAGGGAGGAGGAGGAGGAGGAGGAGGAGGAGGAGGAGGCGGGGCCCAGGCTGCCCCTCGCCAGCGACGGAATTGTTTTTTTCCTTACTCTTCGGCCTCGGGCCCAGGCCGCCGACGCCATGATCTTTTCATCACGGCGACCCCCAGAGTTCTCGACCCACTCGGAGGGAGGAGCAGCGACACCAACACCACCAGGGGGCCCACCTCCAGCGAGGAGGTCCGCGACGCCTCCCCGCGCTGGAGGCCGGGGATGTCTCGAGCGAGAGGGGGGGGGCCACACCACCAGGGAAACCCCCCTTGCCTCCTCGCATCTCCTCGCCCTGGTGGTGTTGGCGTCGCCGTTCCTTGTCGCTACCATTCCCCCGGGACTGTTTTGTCATCCCGAGTCGTTTTTTGTCGGCCCCGAGGCCCGGCGAGGGCCCCGGGAGGTCGCAGATGACGAACAGCCTGCTGCCGTGATTTGTGTCACTGCCCGATGGGGTCCGGGTGGGGTGGGCCCTCGCACTGGGCCTCGGGACCGTCAACACCAAGTGACTCGGGATGAAAGTAGCGGGCCCGAGGGAGTGGGTCGAGACACCTCGGGGCAGGCTCGGGGAGGACGAGAGGGGCCCCGACCCCCTCCGGGGGGACCTCTACTTCAGCCGGGCATGTCCCTCTACAGGAGAAATATTCAAAAACAGTGAAAAAATACTCTGGGGACGATTTTGCTTGTCTTGTTTGACTAAGTTTGAGCATGTGTTGAATATTGCTTCATTTTCCCGCCAAAATCCTCCTATAGGGAGGTACATGCCCGACCTAATGGTGATGGGGGTCAAGCTGCTGAGGGTCAGAGCCAGCAGTGGGGGAAGGGGGGGCGCAAACTATGGAAGCGTAATTTTCTGAGGGGCATACTGGCGTGGGCCAAGTATTTCCAGAGGGGCTGCCAAGGAAGAGACAAGGAAGGCATCGCTTGTGATATAGATACGACCCCGAATTCCGAATAGGGAAAACCAGTGACATGGAGCTTTCAGTCAACCCGCACAGTGGGGATGGGCAGCCTTCCCAGGGGCACCCTTGCATCCTTGCCTTCTCGGCCCATGCTTCGCCGCTCTCGCTGGCCGCGCCCCGCTGGAAAAAAGCCTCGAAAGGGGGCATCCACGGCCCTTTGCATCCTCATCGCGCATCCTTGCCCTACTGGTCGACTGCACCTCGTCCCGACCCCCAAGAGTTACCAGCCTCGAACGTAAGAAACGGGTTCCGGGGAATGCGTCGAGAATGCTGTGGGGGTCGAAGCAATGAACAAATCATGACGTCGGGGACCTGGGGCCCAGACCCCCGACGTAATGATTTTTTCATTACGTCGACCCCCAGAGGTCCCGACCCTTTCCCCATGACCGGCTTGGCATCCTGAGTCCTTTTTTGACGCTCCCGAGGCCCTGTGAGGGCCCTCGGAGGCCGAAAATTACGAAAAACGTCTTGTTATGATTTTTTCATTACTCGAGGGGGTCTGGGAATGCTGTGGGGGTCGAAGCAATGAACAGATCATGACGTCGGGGGCCTGGGGGGGGGCGGCACGGCAGGTTCGCGTCGTGTCGACCGGCTGCGACCCCGCCGCCCGCGTTCCACGTTTCGAACGCCGCCGGCGACCCAGAGTCGGTCGCTCAATATTTTGAACGGTCGGACGATTCGGAAACGGCCGACCAATCCAGACCCCTTCGAGTAATGAAAAAATCATGACGGGAGGTTTGTCCTAACTTTTCGGCCTTTCGAGGCCCTAACCGGCCCTCGGGACCGTCAAAAAACGACTCAGGATGAAAAGCCGGTCCCGGGGAATGGGTCGAGATCTCTGGGGGTCGACGTCATGAAAAAATCATGACGTCGGGGGTCTGGGTTGCACGATCCCCGCGGCGTCAAGACCCGACTCCTGGGTCGGCACGGTTCGAGCCCTCGGAGGCCAAACGTGGAAGTTTTGACGGGTGCTTGCTCGGGGAGGCCGACAGGGGCCTGCAGCCCCCCCGAGTTACGAAAAGATCGCGACGGAAGGTTTCTCCTTACCCAGGCCCCCTACGTAATGATTTGTTCATTGCGTCGACCCCGAGAAGTCCCGACCCTTTCCCCATGACCGGCTTTGCATCCTGAGTCGTTTTTGACGTTCCCGAGGCCCAGTGAGGGCCCCCGCAGGCCGAAAATTAAGGAAAACCTCCCGTCATGATTTTTTCAATACTCGAGGGGGTCTGGGTATTTCGCCCTCTGGGGGCCCTTACCGGGTCTCGGGGATGAAAAACCGGTCCCGGGGAAGGTGTCGAGACGTCGCGCTCGAGGAGGACCTTAAGAAGAGAAGGTGCCGCTGTCGGCCCGGCCCCCGTGTCGGCGGCGGCCCGTGCCGTTACGGGCAGCGCCTCGAGTCGGGCCTGTCCCTCGACAGGGGGGAGATCCCAAAGCAGTCCAAAAATAGTTTGGGGACCAGTTCTTGAGCATGTTTTAAACTATGTTTGAGCATTTTTGGGAGTTGTTTTCAGGTTCCGTCCAAGAACCTCTTCTACGGGGGACATGCCCGGCCTAAGCCGAGCCGAGACGTGCCGAAGCCGAAATGGGCCGAGGCCGAGGCCGAGACAGGCCGAAGCCGAGACGGGCCGAGAGCCGCAACGGGCCGAAAGAAGCAGATGCGGGGGTCGGGTACTCCAAAATCCCTTGGTGATCGTTTTTGTTGCTCATTCTCTTGCCGGTCGGCGCGGTCCCTCGCACCCTCGGCGCCTGTGTCGAGCGGGCGGGGGCCATCCCCCAGAGAACGCCATCATGCAGACAGTGGCATTGAGCAGAGGCCCGGAGCCAGATGGGGTCCGAGTAATGGAGGATGACGATTAATAAATGACAAGGGGTCGTGTTCACGCGGCGGCGCCCGGGATGACGATTAGAAAAACCGGCCGCGGGCTGGAAAACTATTGTTTGATTCGTTCTCTTCCACTCCGAAAATTGTGCAGAAATGGCAGAAAACTATTTTTGTAATCGTTTTCCCCAATTTTTTTAATTAATCGTCATCCCGCATTAGATGGGTCGGAGGATCGCGCCGCAGCGCCGATGCATCGACGATGCAGCTCGACGTGGAGACCGCGTTGCCCCCCGCCGACGTCGCCGATGCATTGCCGACGTCGCCGAGGCATCGCCGGTACGTCGCCGATGCGTCGTTCGTCGATGTATCGGCGATGCGGCGCGATCTTTCGATCCCATCTACTCGGACCCCATCTAGGAGGCCTCTATGGGTAGCAAACCATGGGTGCCTCATGAATCGTCGGAATTCCGTTTTTAGATCGCAGTAGCGATCTCCAGCGGATGGTAATCGATGGGGCAGTGCAGGTTTAGCGTCAATTTTAGCGTGTATTCGCTTCGATTGAGCTTCGATTCGTGTCGATTGATCGTCAGCTCGCATCGGTCAGCGCCGATTCGCAAGAGCCAGCCAGATGGCATAGGGTATAGGAGGCTCCCGCGAGCTGCCACCGAAGGGTGGAACCTGGACATCCAACGCTTCAAAAAATTCCATGGGCGGAGGTGCTTCGCAGTGTTCTGTGACTGGGGGCCCTCGCTGGGTCCCGGGACATTCAGGATGACAAGCCGGCTCTGGGGAACGGGACGGTATTGGGCTGGCCCCCGGCCAGTGCCGCCGATCCGGGGGCCCGGGGGGCTCCGGAAGTGGAGTTTTCTATACCCCCCTGTCCCCAGGTACTGAAAAACGTCGGAAATGACGTCGGAAATATCCCCGTGTACCGAAAAACGTTGAAAATGACGTCGGAAATTACGTCCCCCCCCCCCCCGCAGAGCGAAGCTTGAGCGAGCTCAAGTCCACGCTCTTAGAAACTCACACGCCGGATCGGCAGATTTCCAGGGACCTCGTTTTCAAAAAATCAAGGCGTCGGATGCTTGGGGAAGGGGGATGGGTCCAGAGGAGGGAAAGGTATGGATACCGCTGCCCTTCCCATGTTTTCGCACGTCTGGGGTTCCTGGGAGGCCCTCGTCGCCACGGCTGGATTTGGCTCGAAGTCCTGGTTAGAACGCCGCCCCAGGAGAGGTCTGGGGAGCAGCGGTATCGGAATCCATTGGTTTCCCCATGCAGTGGTTTACAGTGAAGCCCAATGCCAAGAGACACCATGCTGGTCTCCAAGGTGCCTCGGGTTTCTTGGTGTTCGATGGTTTTGCTATGGAAAGCGTGACGTTCCCACACCAAAAATCAATGGACGTCCTGGGGTCTCAGGGTTGGGTTTCTTTTGGAAGGCCTCTTGTGATCGAGCTCCTACTGTACCGGGACTGCTGCGCGCAGTTGGCTTCGGCACTGCCGCAGGGTGGGGGCACTGTCTTCGATGCGTGTGGTCGCTCCCGGTACACCTCAGGCGATGCTCAAGATAACTTACATTTTCGGCCAGAGTCTCGATTATTCTTAATGTTTCAATTGAATTCCTAAGATTTTAATAGAAAGTTTGGGTTTTTAGTCAAGTTCTGAGACTATGAATTTCTTAACCCATGATTTCTTAAGCATTTCGCAAGGTGTACCTTCCCGCGTAGGCTCGAGCTGAACGGTGCTTTGGCGATCCTGTGGACCGTGTTCGTTCTGCTTTCGTTTCGCGGCGACGGCAGAACGAAGGAGTACGAACACGAGCACGAACACGAAGCACACGATTCAGCTCGAGTCCTGTCCTTAGGGGAACAAGAAGTGATCTAAACATCAAAACTCGGAGATCCGCGCGGATTTCTCGGATCGGCGCTGGGGCCCCCCGGCGGCGGCGCGCTCCGCGCGCCAGGGAGGGGGGTCGCGGCAGGGGCGGCGCCGGAGGCGCCGCCGGGGGGCCCCAGCGCCGATCCAAGAAATCCGCGCGGACCTCCGAGTTTTTTTGTTTATGCCACTTTTTGCTCCCCTAGTCTTGTAATCAGTAATCAGTTGCCCCAGAAGGCGAGCCGGGCGAGAGGAAGAAGAAAAAGAAGAAGAAACACAAGCACCACAAGGACGCCGGGCCGCTCGGGGCACCCAGCCCGGCCTGGGCGGGCCTCGCATGGGGAGGAGGAGGAGGAGGAGGAGGAGGAGGAGGAGGAGGAGGAGAGGAGAGAGGAGGGAGGAGGAGGAGGAGGAGGAAGAGGAAGGAGGCGGAGGGGAGGGGGAGGGGGGAGGGGGAGGGGGAAGGGGGGGGGAAGGGGAGGGGGAGGGGGGAAGAGGGGGAGGAGGAGGAGGAGGAGGAAGAGGAGGAGGGAGGGAGGAGGAGGAGGAGGATGAGGCGAGGATTAGGAGCAGAGGAGGGACTAAGGAGGAGAGAGGAAGGATGAGGAGAGGGAGGAGAGAGGAGGGGAGGAGAAAGGAGAGGAGGGGAGGGGAAGAGGAGGGATGAGGGAGGAGGAGGGAGGAGGAGGGAGGAGGAGGAGGAGGAGGAGGACTAGGAGGAGGCGGAGGAGGAGGAGGAGGAGGAGGAGGAGGAGGAGGAGGAGGAGGAGGAGGAGGAGGAGGAGAGGACTCCGTAGCCATTGTGGCTCAAGGTTTCTTGGGCCAGGCAGGTTAGGCGAGGCCGGATGGCCAAGACAGGGGCGCCCGCAGCAGTAGCAGCCATGGAAAGCCATTCGCGTCTCAATGCGGAGGAGCTGCTCTACAGGATGAATGGTCAGCGATTGCGGCTGCTAGCTCAGCATGTTGGTGGTTTCCCTGAGGGCATTGCCAGTGCAGCCCGTCAGTTACGTCGCGATGGTAAGCTCAGCGGGACAATCTGCAAGAATATCGTCACGGTGGACGAGGCGTACCACCTCACCCGCCACATCACGGACAAGAGGACCAGCGGTTTCTATGCCACTGTAGGCAAGGATCTGCATGACAACGAGCATCCGAAGGTCAAGCCCGTTCCTTTCCTTCCAGGAGGCAGGCGGACCGTTGAGAACGCCTATGCTGCCTCCACTTGTGCGGACTCGCTGAGCGGTGGGGAGTTGCTTGAGAACACCACCAACCACGGCAGCGTCAGCGACAGCAGCAGTGCAATGCGTACCAAGGTCCTCAACAACGGGGACGACGTCCGTGAGCAGTGCACCCAGACGGTAGATATGGACACGCTCATGTACGATGGGATCCTGGACCGCTTGCACCAGCTGCAATCGACCATGTCAGAGACGCGAAACGATGTAATTTCAATGTGTGGTCAATCGGTTGCTGAGCCAGGATCTCAAACATCCAGCTTACCAGCGTGGATTTCGAGTGTTCCCCACGCCCGATTGGAAGCGATGGGCCTACAGAGGAGGTGAAGAATACGCAGACAGGAGCAGCATAACCCTTTCACGGACCATCTCTCGCAGAACCATGCCACGGCTTCAGAGCGCGAGAAGAATGCGAAGTTGATGCAAGTTCTTCGTCGTGCAACTTATCATCGGGCGGTCGTGTTTGCTAGTTCGAACAGGCGAGCCATCTCATTGTCAGAAATCCTTCGGGAGCTCAAATTTGACGCTCACTTCATTTATTGTGTTGAGGGTCCCGATCCAGACTCCGAGTCGGGCGGCTCAATCCAAGAGGTGGCACAGAGCTTTGGGCCCAACACGAGCATTCTGGTGGCATCGGCAGAAGCACGGGCCCTAACACCAGACATCATCAGGCCGAACCTGTTCATCAACTACGACATGCCGGATGACGCTGAATCTAATCTGGGTCGTATAGGCCCCATGGGCCACATAAGCCAGGACGGGGTGGTCACTTCCTTCGCGGCCAGTTCTGACGCCTCGGTGCTACTGGAGATTCTGGAGGACATCCATGTGAACATAATGGCTTTGCGACCCAGTTCGGCACCGGCGTAGGCTACGGCGAGAGGTTGTGATGAGCAGCAGCATGGAGTGAAAGTGAGGGGTGAGAGTGGCGAGAGAACTTGCACCCCACTGCCTTGAATGCCCATCGGTAGCGGTCTGCTGCTGAGTGCTACACTCTCCTGTTTCCCCCTCTTATCCTACCTCATCCTTCCATCAGAATCATTTGTCCTCTGGCTTTCCCCCTTTCACTTCAACCCCTTCCAGAGTTTTCAGCACTCTGCTAGCCCTCTCTGGGGGTGGTGGGGAGCAGATGATTTCGAGTATTCTGGTGCGTGCGCGTGCGCGTGCTGTGCGTGGGAGTTGCGCGTGTTTCATCGGAAGGGGGAGTGGAGGATCTCCCCCCATCCTCCGCAGCTGTTGCGCACACTTGGGAAGCACCTAGCTACGACATATTGTCGTAACGGCGCTGGCCTCTTTTAGGCCAACAGTGCTTCTAAGCAGTCCAGAGAGCGAGGCTGTCGCGCACGGGTTCTCCTGAACGGCGAAGCCTTAGGTCCTCTACTCCATTTAACTCCAGCCTTATCCTATGATGTGAGGTCTCTTCGCTGTTTAGGGTTAGCCTCCCTCCAGTCAGGGTGCAACGTGAGCGGAACCACGTTCAACACCTGCCCGACTGCCTTAGAGCAGGTCCCCACCCTGGAGGAGGGGGGGGGGGCGGCGGTCACGGGCGGGGGCAGGGATGTGGAGGACCCCATTCCCGCCGCTGCGTGGCCTTGTTGCCGACCGCAACATCGGTCAGGCAGCCCAGAGGCACCCATAGCCTCTGCACCTCAATTTTCCCCTTTTCACGGGCGGCTTGAGCTGTCTTAGCGTTTTTGCTCTGCGCTCGCTGACACGTCATGTCTCGGTGTCTCGAAGGAGAAGAGGACGAGGAGGGCGGGAGAGCTGGCCGCACACCTCGCGCTTCGAGGGCTGCGGCGGAACCCTCGATGGCGCCCCCTCTCGGGGGAACGAGAATAGTTTTGCGCGCTCTCGCGTTTCGCGCTTCGGGTTGATTCCTCCTCGCCCCCCCTTGAGCGCGAAGTTCTTCGCGCTCTCGCGCTTCGCGGTTCGGCTCCGATTCCTCCTCGTCCTCCCCTTCTCCCCCGACGGAGGCGGCGCGAGAGCGCAAAGAGTTCTGCGCGCTCTCGCGCTTCGCGTTCCGGCTCCCATTCCTCCTCGCCCCGCCTTCTTCCTCGAGGGGGCGGCGCGAGAGCGCGGAGTAATGCGCTTTTCCAGCGCAGCGCGATAGTGCGGAGTCAGGCGCCCTCAGAGCCACGGCGCTCCGCCTGACGGGCCGAGCTCTGCTGGACAGGAGAGCCTCGGCGCGGCCGAGAGAAAAGCGATAGCGGCAGCGAGCGTACGGAGAAGCACGGGCCGGGCATTCGGTATTGCTAGGTATCGTGGGCAAGTCCAAACCACGGCTGGGGTCGAGGCTAAGGCCGAGGCTAATCGGCGAATGCCGAGACGAATTCGCAGTCCAATTCTAAGAGGGGTCGTAAGTCAATGCTTGTGTCCACTTCTACATCGACGTCTATGTCCATGTCCTCGTTTGCCTCACAGTCTATGCGGTATGCATTCGTCCAGAATTGGGTTCCAGAGGCTTATGCGATTCGCTGGTCTCTGAACGGTAGACGGGGGACGGGGGGCCATTGCAATCGGGGCGCTGCACGGTATGCGCAGGGAGGCTCGATCGCGGGAAGGCGTCGAAGAGCAGTGCGGTCGGAATAAGTGGCAGGGAGGCAAGTTGCGGTGGGGAGGGCGTAGAGGATGCTGGGGCGTCGTTCGACAAAGAACGGCATCATGAAAAGCGTTCGAAGGTCCCCGCAGATTGCTTGGATCTGCGTTGGAAGCCCTTATCGGGGCCTCAGGCGCACCGTCTCAGGCGCCGAGACTGGCGCGCTCGGCGCGCCAGAGAGCGGCGTCCAGCGCCGAACCACGAACTACTCGCGGACTTTCCAAATGTATTGTTCCTGCAGATGTCTGTTCATCTGTTGTCGTGGCCATGCCAGTGCTGCGCCATGTCTTGGTGTCTCTCGGGGGGCTCCTTTCGGGTTGCAGTCTGCTGGGTCATGGCGCACTGCTTGAAGGAGCAGCAGGATGCTGTGGTGTCACAGAGAGGCGGGGTATGAGCAAGGAGGGAACCGCCGCAGCAGGAGCAATGGCAGTGATGGGCGGTGAGAGCATGAGCCTCGAATGGACTGCAGCGCGGGAGTCACGGCGGGACCCGAGGCAGGAACCGGCGCAGGGCTCATTTCGATTCCTCCGATTCGATTCGGTTCGATTTTGATGGCTCCCGATTCCGACTCGATTCGGGTTGGGGTGCCGATTTGGATTCCGATTTCTCAATGGAGGCTTACTAGCCTGCCGATGTCCGCCGATTCGACTTCTCCCGACTCGGCTGCCGATCTCCGCCGTTTCGACGTATTTCGATTGCCGATCCGACTTATCGATGCGATTATGGGCTCTCCTGCCGGCGCGCAAATCACCAAATGAGTAAGAGTTGGCGCGTGTATGCGCACGTGTGCTTGTGACCGAACGTGTGGCCTTTCTTCTTGTGGCCTGGTTTGGGGCCAGGTGCTGTACTTGAGCCCCTGGCTCTGCTGGAGCTCTCTTGGGGCCCGCTGGTGCCACCTTGGATGTCCCTCCGCGGCACCTTGGGGTCGCCTGCGAGGAGGCCTTGGGGAATCGTAGGGCCTCGTCTGGGGCTGCATGGCGCGGCCGCTCGGGGGCTACCCGGGGGGCCATCTTGGAGGCCCGCCAGTGCCAGCTCCGTGGGCTCTCTGGGGGCCCATTGAAAGCCTTCTGGGCCCCCTCGGAGGTGTCGGGAAGCGATGACAACGCGAGGAGGCACAAGCCACTGGAGAGCCACACGCCTGCCAGTGATCTCTGGGATCTCCGGGCTCCCTCGTGGGTCCCCCAAAAACGAAGGATTGCAACAAAACCTAGGATTGCAAAAAAGGATTGCGAAAAAACCCTTTGGAGTTCTTCGTCTGCCTTTGGAGTTCTTCTCGAGGTCTCCTTGGTGTGCTGGGCCCCTTCTTGAACTGTTCTGGAGGGCATGTCGAGGACGCAGGGCCCAGAAGCTGCGCTGACGAGCTCGTCCCCCCCAATGGGAGGAGGAGGAGGAGGAGGTGGAGGAGGAGGAGCAGGAGGAGGATTATGGCTTGGCCCCCTCTGATTGTTCTCCCCCCCTCTCTCCTCGTTTGCCTGCTGGTTTCCCATGCACGCTTCTGACACGTACCGCCAGTGACCCTTGGAGCGGTGCTCCAGGTGTCACATGCATGGAATTCGGGTGACGAGACCCCGCAGGGCCGACGGGCCCTGGGGGGGAGGGTTGCGGTCGACGATCTCTCCAGCCATCAGGAACCAGGAATCGGGAGGAGGAGGAGGAGGAGCAGGAGGAGGAGGAGGAGGACAGGGATGACGAGGACACGGACCAGGATGGGGGAGGGTGAAGTGGACCTGAATTTGGCTCAGATCTCCGAGGATATGCTCGCGTCAGCGTGGTAAGGTTTCCCAGACTTCGGCGACGGGCCCCCGGGACCATAAACGATGGATCCAGAACGGGACATGACCCTGAGGGAAGGGGTGGGAACCGGTGAGACAGCGGCGGATCTCAGGGGAGTGCGTGCGTGGATCCGGGGAGTGGGAGCAGGAAGAAGGCGGATGGGCGCAGGAGGGGTGGCGGGGCCCTGGTGGGCCGGGAGGAGGAGGAGGAGGAGGAGGAGGAGGAGGAGGAGGAGGAGGAGGAGGAGGAGGAGTGCCTTCCCGCTGGCGTCCGGCCAAGGATGCCGACTTCGACGGCGACGACATGCCGCCTGCGGACGCAGAAGGGTGGGGCATGCATGCTCCGCCCGCACCTCAGAGCGCGGGCGGTTGGGAGGACCGGGGGAGCAAAAATATAGCGATGCCGCCTTTCCGCCGCCACTTCCCCCCGCCACCTGTCCGCCCGCCCCAGACCCAGACCCCCTCGAGTAATGAGAAAATCAGGACGGGTTTTTTTTCCAAATTTTCGGCCGGCCCTCGGGAGCGTCAAAAAACGACTCAGGATGAAAAACCGGTCCCGGGGAATGGGTCGAGATCTCTGGGGGTCGACGTCATGAAAAAATCATGACGTCGGGGATCTGGGGAGTGGACCCCCTGGGCAGCCGTGGCCTCATCTCGGGGTGCGCTCCGACCAGGGAAGCCGAGGCGACGCCGGCTGCGGCAACGAGGCCCCCCCCCGCTGCGGGATGCCCAAGGGCGGCACCCGGCGGAGGGGATCGGACACAGACATCTGGCTGCTCCAACTTGTTCGATGCGTGGGTCCCGGAGGTTCGGACCACTTCCCTTGGGCCGGTTCTTTTCGTCCTGAATCGTATGTTGACCGTCCCGAGGCCCGGCGAGGGCCCCTGGAGGCCGAGAACGGCCCAAGACCCGCTTTTCCAATGTTTTGGGAGCGTCGGATCTCTGGGGAACGGCGGCGCCAGCCCTGCCCCGCAGGACGGCGGCTTCGGGGGCCCCGTCTCGCCAGACGCCGCCGCCGCGGGCTGGTCCGCGGGCGAGGGCGACTTCGGCGGCCAAGGGGGCTTCGGCGGCAGCGGCCCCGCGGAGGGCAGCCCAGACCCCCGACGTCATGACTGTTTTGGAGGAGGAGGAGGAGGAGGAGGAGGAGGAGCGATGAGCGATGAGCGAGGAGGAGGAGGTCGAGGGAGGGAGGAGGTGGAGGTGGAGTGGAGGTGGAGGTGGTGGAGGGGAGGAGGAGAAGGAGGAGGAGAAGGAGGAGGAGGAGGAGGAGGAGGAGGACCAGCGTAAACCCAAGATGCATCAACGATGCTGCAATACACCCTCCCGTGCCAAGTCCCCCCCTCATACGTCCAGGTCCGAACTCCTTCCCCGGGACCGGCCCTTCATCCTCCCCAGCCGCTTCTCCACGCTCCCGCGAGGCCTGGTGAGGGCCCCCGGAGGCCGAAGACAGCGAAGAAGCCTCGCGTCGCGAGTTCTGCCGTGACTCGAGGGGGTCTGGGAGCAGCGACCCCTACGCCCTCGGGCGCGACCCGCCCGGCTTCGCCGCCGAGCCGGCCGCCTCCCTGCCGGCGGCCTTCGCCGAGCCGGCGGCGGCCTTTCCCGGGCGGCCGCCCTCGCAGGCCGCCGCCGACGCGGAGGGCCTGTGGGTGGTGCCCGCCGCGGCGGCCGCGCCGCCGCAGCCGACGCCCTGGGAGGGCGCGTCCTGGGACGCGGCCGCGGCGCAGGCGCTCAGCATCGTTCCGCCGGCCCCCATCCCCATCTCCTATCGCCGTCCCCCGATCGAGGCACCCGCCGGCTTGCCGCCCCCCCCAGCTGGGGAGGTGCACCCCTCGAGAGCCGAAGGGGGGCGGCCTATAGAGATCCCCATCGATAAGGGGAGGCAAATCGGCCAGTGGGGGCCAGGCCACGCCGCTGGGGATGGGGGCCGGATTCAACGATGCTCAGGCGCCGGGCCCCGGCTCGGGGCCCGCCTGGGACGGCGGCCCGACTGGCGAGCCGCAGGTAGGGAAATCGAGCAGTGGCGAAGCGTCCTGGCTCGACTGGTAGTCAGGAGGGGTAAAAGACCACACAGATACAATTGACCGTCGATTCCGCAGATAATGTGGATAAATATGGGAAGTGGGGGGAAGACACAAGCTTGGAACAGATTGGGAAATATAGGGAATCCGGTTATTTGTGTGTGTGTGTGTGTTTATTTGTGTGTCCCAGGGCTTAGGCCCACCACTCAATGTTCTAAGAACCTTTCCGGGCCTGCAAGACATGTCCTCAGAACTTTTCTGGCTGGGGCCGTCTGGTTTCAGCACGTCGGGCTTCTGTTCTGAGAACAGGGTCTGGGTTCTTGGAGCATGTTTGGGTTCTAAGAACATTTCGTGGTACAGTGCCGTTTTTCATACCTGCTCCGCGTGCGGATCATGTATTGCAAATGCAGGGATTCAGTATCAGAAACAAGGATGAGTTCATGCATAAATCCCTTCCTAAAGCAATCATGTATTACAAATCATATGTTCTTTAAAATCTTATGTATTATTAAAAAACTGCCCTGTAGGCCTATGATACTGCCGGGACTGTCGGTCCCTGCTCAGAGAGAGAGGGGAGAGGAGCGGCACGCCCTGAGGCCTGGGCGTGGCACGCTTTTTCACAGCTCGGTCACGCGCGGAGCCCACAGACCCCCTCGCACTGCGGACAAACATCACGACGGGAGGTGTTTTCCCATATGTGTGTGTATATATATAGATATATACACACTTATATATATATATATAATATATATATATATATATATATACATATATATAGATATATAATGCGGCACCGCCGGATCCCGAGGCTTTGCCTCCTCCCCAGACCCCCTCGGGTAATGAAAAGATCCGGACGGAAGGTTGTCCTTCATTTTCGGCCTCCGGTGGCCCTCACCGGGCCTCGGGAGCGTCAAAAAACGCCTCAGGATGCAAAGCCGGTCATGGGGCAAGGGTCGGAGCCTTTGGGGGTCGACGTAATGAAAAAAACATTACGTCGGGGGTCTGGGTCCTGGCCTTGCTGTGAGGCCGCTCTCCTTCTGTCCCCCCCCTCTTTGTGAGTTCAAGCTTCGCGCGGCCCGCTCAGCTTCGACCGGAAGAGGTGCGCTCTCGACCCGCGAATCAAAGAAACGTGTTTTTCCGAATTTTCCGTTTCCTGGGGAGCCCTCACCGGGCCTCGGGACCGTCAACAAAGGGCGACTCAGGATGAGAGACGGGTCCTTGGGAATGGGTCGAGATCTTTGGGGGTCGACGGCGGACGTAATGACACGCTCATCGCGTCGGGGGTCTGGGAGGGGGGGGTAGGGGGGGAGGGGAAAGGCTGTCTCAGAAGCACCCTGCTTGTGAGAAGGCGGGGGCTCCATCCCCAGACAATCTCGGACAGCGACAAGCATCACGAGGGGCGGTTCTCCGTTGGGTTCGGGGCCCTCGCCGGGCCTCGGGACCGTCAAGAGAAGACTCGGGATGAGAAACCGGTCCCGGGGAATGGGTCTGGACTTCTGGGGGTCGCGCCATGGAAAAATCATGTCGTCGGGGTCTGGGGCTTTCGCAGCTCAGCCACGCGCATAGGGGGGTAGGGGGAGGGGGGAGGCTTCTCAGAAGCACCCCTGCTTCTGATAAGGCGCGGGCCTCATCTGTAGGTGTAAGGCATGCGCCTGCAGTAAGGAGCAGCCTTTTTCGAGGAAGCCTTCCCCCACCCCTGCTTCTGATAAGGCGCGGTCCGTAGATGTAGGGCCAGCGCCTGTTAAGAAGCAGGCTCCTTCTAAGAAGCCTTCCCTCCTCCCCCCTTCCCCCTTGCGCGCGCGTCGCCAAACAACAGGCGTCTTTGCCTGCTTTGGGGCTCTTGGCTTGGCACACGACCAAATGTGGTGTTCCCTTCTGGGTGGCAAGCTGTGACGCTTGTGCTCGACTTGCCGCAAACTTGCCTGCTCAATGTCTTGCTGGCTCAGCGCTAATATACCAACACATATGTACAATGAACAACCACCAATGCAATCTGCATTGATTGATGCAGATGGTGTTGCACCTGGACAGGTGCCTTTCTCCAGGACCATCACAGATCGGTCTGGCTCGACGAACGGCGCCACATGGCGTCTGGGGCTCCGGTCGTAATGTTTCGCGTCGGGTTCCAGGGCCAACGTGAATTCTTGGAGCTCCGCGATGGTCCGGATCAGCGTTGGGCACCTCCCTCCCCCTAGCATTACATCGGGCATGGCCTCTTCAGGAGGAGTATTCAAACGTGGTCAAAAATGGTCCGGGGCCGATGTTTCTGCTGTGTTCGACCATGCTCGATTATCATTCGACGATGCCGAGTTGCTCTTCCGTGCTCCGCCCGCAGGGGGGCGTGCTCGACCTATCCCTAGCACGCGCAGCGCGCCAGGGGCGGCGCCGGAAGCGCCGCCCACGGGGTCCGCCTGGGCACGAGGGCCAGGGGAGGGGGCTCCCCGCGCCGCGCCGAGCTCCGAGGGAAGTCCGCTCGGAGCTCTCCTCCTCCGTCCAGGCGGCCCGCATGGCCAGACCCCTCCTCCTCCGCCTCCTCCTCCTCCTCCTCCTTTCCTCCTCCTCCTCCCCTCCTCCCCCCCCCCCTCCCCCTCCCCTTCGAGCCATGCAGAAAGCACGACGGGAGGCTTCTCGCTGGTTTCGGCCGCCGTGGGGCCCTCACCGGGCCTCGCGAGGCCGTCGGAAAGCGGCTCCGGGTGAGGAGCCGGCCCCGGGGAGCGGGTCGAGAGCTCCGGGAGTCCACGCCATGAAGCAAAGCAAACAAAAACAACGCGTGACGTCGGAGGTCTGGGTGTAGCGCCGACCTCCGAGAAGTCCGCTCGGAGTTCCAGCAATGTTTGTTTGTCAGTCTGCCATCCGCCCGCATCGCCAGGCCGAGCGAGGTTCCAAGGTTCCCCTTGCAGCCTCCCCCTTCGGCCCATCCTTGGCCGCCGTCGCTGGCCGCCGGCCGCGCCCCGCTGGCAGAGCGTCGGCATGGCCTCCCGCCGGCCCCTGGCTCCTCACTGTGCGCCCTTCTTGCACGGGCTGGCTTCGGGAGGGGAAGCAACACACAGACACACAATGAATCGTCGATTCCCAGAAAGGGGAACTATGGGAGGTGGGGGGGAAGAGAGAAACCCCAAACATATAGGAAAATATGGGAAATATCTTTATTCGTGTGTATTCATTTGTGTGTCCCGGGGCCCCTTCATGGCTGCCCTCCCGCCTCCGGAGGGACGGAGCGAGGTGGCCGCGCGCGCCAGGGTAGGGCCTCGGACCTCGTCCTCGAGGGCCGTGGCCTTGAGGGTTGTCCGTGTCCAGCTGCTGCTCGTCCCAGTGGAGGGTTTCTCCGAAGGGCTTAGGCGACCCGTCCTCCTCCTCCTCCTCCTCCTCCTCCTCCTCCTCCTCCTCCTCCTCCTCCTCCCCTCCATCTCCTCCTCCTCCTCCTCCTCCTCCTCCTCCTCCTCCTCCATCTCCATCTTTTCCTCCCCCTCCTCCTCCTCCTCCTCCTCCCCCTCCCCCTCCTCCTCCTCCTCCTCCCCCTCCTCCGCCTCCTCTTCTTCCTCCTCCTCCTGGGGTCGCCTACGGCCCGGGGGGAAACCGTGCACTTCCCAGACCCCCGACGTCAGGATTTTTCCGTGGCGTCGACCCCCGGCGGTCTCGGCCCCTTCCCCGGGTCTGGTTTCCCCTCCCGAGCCGTCGCTCGTGTGTCTCGACGGCCACGAGGCCGTGAAGGGGCCCCCGAGGCCGAAACCGGCGACACGCTTGCCGTCGTGATTCTGTCGCGACTCTGGGGGGTCTGGGTTCTGCTCCTCCCAGGATCGGGAGGCATCCGTGGCGGAACCCGCCTTGCTTGGGGCCCCTCATACATCTACTCTGGGCCCCGCCCCTCCTCCAGAGGGCCCCGCCTTCGGAGCATCGCCGAGGAGGGGGAGAGAGCTCCGTAAGTCTTGAGGCCCGTGATTCACCACCCACCAAACCACCCCAACCCAACCCGAAGGCTCAGATTTTCCCTCGATTTCCAGGGGGGGGGCCGGGAAACGTCGAGAAAACACATGTGGAACCCTTACCCCCCCCCCAACCCGAAATTCGGGTCTTCGGGTTGGGTTGGGGTGGTTTGGTAGGTAGTCAGTGCTGCTCTCCCACGACCCGAAGGGGGTTTGGGTGCTCGGTGTGTCTCCTGCCGGCGCGCCGCCGACCGAGGCGAGGAGGCCGCCCGCCCACCCGCGCCGCCGAGGGCGTGGAGGCCGGCGGCGCCGGCCGGCGACCCGCTGGAGCCGGACGGGTGCCGCAACTGCCGGGCGCTGCGCGAGGCTCGAGGGCGGCCTGGCCGACCCCTGGCAGCGCCCCCCCCCCCCCCCCCCCCGACAGTCCCAGACCCCCTCGAGCAATGAAATTATTCACGACGGGAGGTTTTTCCCAATTTTCAGCCTTGGGGGGCCCTCACCGGGCCTCGGGAGCGTCAAAAAACGACTCAGGATGCAAAGCCGGTCATGGGGAAAGGCTCGGGACTTCTGGGGGGGTCGACGTAATGAAAAAAACATGACGTCGGGGTCTGGGGTTGTGGAAGTCGATCAATGGAGAGGAAGCGTGCTGCCAAAGAATTTCCAGATGTCTGAAACATGTTTCAAAGATGTGTATAC